TTTACCCCTGACGAGTTTTAACCTAAGTTTATATACTCTGCCAAAGTGTTAGAGGCAGAGAGAGAGTTTTTTGTATTCTTTTCACAGCAAAAAGTTTTAGGGTTTATAGTTTGGAGAGAAGATCATCAGAGAGATTTGTGATTGGAACTCCAGTGTTTTCTACCTATTTATTTATCTATAATATGCAGTTTTATTTATCTATTTGTGTTATTAATTGCTTAGCTATGTCTGAGTAGTTTGCTTGTTAGATTTAGGGTTTAAATAGGTTAGAAGAATTAGCCCCAACTATAGGTTTGCTAGTTGTGGTACTCATTAATAGGATGTTCTAAATGCTCATGGTTCTAGAGTAGCTAACTAGAAACATTGAATCTTGGATTACTTAGGTTGGATTAGAGACATTTAAGCAATTCTGATAATCCTGAACATATCTCTACTAAGCTAGGATTGTTAGATATATAACGATTGTTTGATCTAGAAGTCTTTAGTGAGTTCATGTTAACTTGCGTATAATGCTTGACCGGACTCATAGATCGATATTCCGACAAGAAATTGATCGATGATAAGTTAATTGTATCGACTGATGTTCCCAATGAATAATCGTTCGACACTGTCAAGTAGGACCAGCCGGTCATTAGACTTATTTCTTCAAATGATAGTTTAATGAATTTGTTAATTAAGATAGTTAATGCTCTATAGTACCTTGCAAACAACTGAATAGCTCCTATAGGATTATAATCTCAATACCTGAATAAAACCCCTAAGTCTAGCACTTTTTCATTTTAGTTTCAAGAATCTTTATATCCATTTTCGATTAAGTAATTGTCTTGCTTAATTGGAATATTTCATGTTTACTTGTTTACTACTTTTACTATTTATATTCACCTAGATTATTGTTTGACTATATTTATTAGGTTCCCTAGCTCCTTGTGGTTTCGATACCTTGAGTACTACAATAGATCTCTTATTTGAGAGAGTAAGTTGCTCCTTAGGATAAACATTTGAGCAGACATCAAATTAGGCGCCGTTGCCAGGGAGCTTTGATAGCCTTTAGATTTAGTCTAATAATTCTAGGTTTGTCTTTTTGTTTTTCTTTTTATCATCTTCTGATATATTTTTTCTCTTGATTTTTCAAGTGCATGCATAGTATAACCAGAAGCAACAAGGAAAAACAGCTCGTATTTTCAGAAGACCCTGCAAGTTTGGAAAGTTCGATCCGCAAAAACCAACGTTCTGCATCGATCGACGCCAACATACCTTCGTCGACCGTTTCTTACCAAACCCCAACCGACCTCGCTTCATCATCGATCGACACGGGATACACTTCGTCGAACGATTCTGATCATTTGACATCGATCAACACCACTCAACGTACATCGATCGATTCTCAGCCGCGAGACATGGTTGTGCCTTTGATTCTAACCACACACGTGAATGGAAACATGTATGACCAGGAAGGTCATCTGTGTAATGCAACAAGTCAGAAACTGGATAATGAGGGTAATGTAATCCCTGAAACTGATACTGATGAGGCCACTCGACCTAAGACCTTGGCATACTACAACCGTCCTGGTCAGTACTACGCCAACATGTCAGATATTCGTCTCCCGGACGTTTAGTGGGAGAATTTTGAATTGAAGTCCCAGTACTACACACTTGTGGCACAAATACCCTACTGTGGGTTGTCACATGAGCATCCCATGGACCATCTTGAGAGGTTCGAGGATCTCATTGCTGCTATCAGAGTTAAAGGAGTCCCTGAGGACTACTTATTGTGTAAGCTCTTCAAGTTCTCACTTGCTGGAGATGCTGCACATTGGCTCAAGCAGCTACCACCAGGATCTCTTACATCATGGGCTGACATCAAGAATGCGTTCCTGCGCAATTTCTTTGATTAGGGACGAGCTAAAGAACTAAGGAACATAATTGCTACTTTAACACAAAAACCGGGACAGTATTTTAAAGATTCCCGGCTCAGATTTAAGTTCTTCCAGCACGACTGTCCACACCATGGATTTAATGAAGTGCAGCTGCTCAGTACTTTCTTTAGAGGATTCGCTTTGAAGTATCAGATGGCTCTGCATACAGCAAGCGAGGGAAGCGTCAACACTAGGAATCTGGAGGAAGCTGTGAGGCTTATCGAGAACTTAGCGAACAGCAGCAGCATCAAGAACACCGATTATGAAAGGAGGAAATCTGTAGCATTCCTTGGGAATGAACAGTTAGATGAGGTAAAAGCTCAGATGGAAAATGTCAACCAGCTACTCATGAGACATGTTTGCTCAGCTGAAGGTGTAGATGATATAGATTCAGAGTTAGCAGATGTGAACTACATTGGAAGAACTGGATTTCAAAGGCCTAGAAACCAGTTTGGAAGAATGAACTTCAGTGGTAATGGTCAGAGAAGTAACTTCAACCAGAATCCATAGTTTCAGAAACCCTACAGCAGCTACATCAACAACAAAGGGTATGAAACTTCATTCTACCAGAATCCACCACCACAGACTCAGGAGAACAAGATCGAAGCTATGCTTGATCAGGTTCTTGAATGACAGCAAAATCTTACAGTGGACTTCACTAGGAAAATTGATACTATCTACAAAGAGCTAGACACCAAAATTGGAGCTTTGGGTACTCAGGTCAGGAAACTTGAGACTCAGGTAGTTCAGACTGAAGAAGCTGTCAAGAGACAAGAAGGGGATGAAGCTATGAGACACCACGTCAATGCCATACTGGATGATGATTTCTGGCAAGAAATTCGCTATATTAAGATGAAAGAAGACGATCTTGAAGAGGAGGTTTACCATGATCTCGAGGTTACATTTTCTCATCGATCGATGCCATATAGTTTGTATTGATCGACCGAGTTCGATGGATATCGATCGACAGGTTACTATTCCGATCGACGCGTACTGAATCGTCTAAAACATGCAATGCCATCCGGATCATGACCCACGCGGAGTTCGCATAAAGACACCCACATCCACCCAACCCTTCATACTCCAACATTGATCGACATCATGAGCCAGACATCGATCGACACCAGGAACATGTCAACGATCGACAGAACCCTTGTTCAATCGATCGATCCGACACTATCACATGCCGAGTGCAGCTACCCCCGATTGACGTATCACGAATCAACGCACTCAAACAGCCATCAACCAACCCACCCGACCCTACATCAGAGCCTATGGACATTGATAGATGCTTTTGTAGTCCTTAGCTGCTTTTATAATCTCTCTTTCTCTGGATCGTACAACTGACACGACTTCCTCCAGAGTTAAGGAGTCCCTTCCATACTTCAAAGTATGTCTGAGCGGATCATAGTTCAACGACAGCGACATCAAGAAAAAGATCGCTTGAACTTCATCTGAAACCTTCACATCCAAACTTCCAAGTTCAGCAACAATCTTGAGAAAGTCATCCACATTCCTGTCTGAATTCAATGACTCCTCCATCTTGACTGTGTAGAAATTTAGCTGCAGATGTATCCGGTTAGGCAAAGACCTCTCCATGTACAACCTGTTCAACAACGAACACATCTCTGCAGCAGTAACACGGAGATTAATCTTTCTCACCACATGGTCACCAAGACTTGTTATCATCAACTCTATAGCTTTCTCAGATTTTTCTTCCTTTATGGGATCTGAAACCATCTTTGTAAAAGGCTCAGAAGGATTTGTTTCTTCACCTTCAAATGGCCTCTTCTCTTCACTCCTTGTGAGAGGAACCTCAATCTCTAGCTTGGGATCTGTGACAATGTATTTCAGACTTAGCACACAAAATGAGCCATCATTCTCGTCTTCCACATTCTGAAATCTCAAGTACCATCGAATATGTTGATATCTAATATCCTTGAACCTCCTACAAGATCTTTAGCCATCTTGTAACCAACAAACAACCACTCCTCCTTACGTAAAGTTCAAGTCTTTATGATAAAGCTTGTGTCTTTATGTCAAAGCTTATATCTTTTCGACCAGAACACCAACACCAAAGAAAGCTTGAACCTTTTTGATGAAACTTAATGTATTTCCACCAAAGGTTGCACCTCTCCTCTCAAAGCTTAAACCTTTATACTTTTCTTCAACAAAGCTTAAAAATTTTTGGGTTTATACAAAGTCGGAGCTTTCCCAAGAACCTTGAGCTCTTATACCACTTGTTATAAATCTAGGGAGAATGATTTCGATTTTTTGTGTCTCTCTCAAAACTCTCTCTCACTCGTTTGTATGTGTTCAAGCGAGAAATAAGATTACAAAACACACATATTTGGTAACCCACTATCAACGCATCGGTGTGATGACATTTAATCTGGGCCGGATTCAATCCAAGCAATATATTAATTAGAGATGATGTTTACAGCTCAAGAACAGAGCAACATCTTTCACAAGCTATAGATTGCTTCTTCTCTCACCACTCATGAAGAAGAAAAGGCGTAAAGTTTATAGTATTCTACGTTGAGTGAAGTCTCTGTCGCGACCAGAGATTTCACTCTCCCTTTTCCTTCTTCACCAAACACTGGTTTAGTCTCTGCAGTAAACCACTTCGAATAAACCGAACTTAACCAGCTTCCAATTCAAACCACAAATCAGCTTCAAACCTCTTTGAAATTGAATCACATAAGCTTGAGCTTCAACAGAAAGTTGAAATTTTTAATTATTGTTCCAGGAAAAGATTCTTTAATAATGGCAAACATTTTGAAAAGATAGCCTAAAATGTACCATTTACATGACATAGATCTAACCTATTGCCTACTTCTAAGCTGCATCTTGCCTAATTTTTGTCTCTTGCCTAACTATGTTTTTCTTTGATTTTTCTTTCCTGTATGTAGATTTGGATCACAAAATAGAATTGTTAGTACTGTAAACATGTACAAGACATATTTCAATTTTTGTTATATATACAAATAGTAATTCGTTTTGAAGAACTCTAATAATGATATAAAAAGGAGCATTTGTGGAACTAATGTACGAAAGTAGCGCCTTCGAAATACATATGCGATGAAAAGTTGTTTTAACACTTAACACTGTATACAGAAATAGTGTTGACAATATAATAATAGAAACATAAAATTCTTATTTCATTGGTAACCTGCTCATTCGTGTGTTTTCTAAGCCATTCTTATTTCTATCTAAATTGAAAAGTATATTAGGCCGAAGAAGGCCCCCGAAAATCAGAGGCTTTGGGAGCAGACTTTAAAGGAAGAAGAGTTTGTTCCATTGGTGAATGTTCTAATGTGTCGTTTCTCAGTTCTTGTCCTTGGCAGGCAAATGTCCGTTCGCCTGAGCTTTGCAACAACTCGGGATAACTCGAGAAATCTTTCAGATCCACATTTCCTTCATCTGCTTGTGGAATAAGAAGAGGCCGAGGAGGAAGAATCTTTACATCCTCCGGGAAATTAAGCTTTGCTTTAGTTCCACGGAATCTGAGTGCAGCCTCGTCGTAGGCTCTGGCAGCCGCTTCTGCCGTATCAAACGTACCGAGCCAAACCCTAGCTGCTTTATGTGGATCGCGTATCTCAGCCGCCCATTTTCCCCATGGTCTCTGCCGTATTCCTCTGTATCTCCTATTTTCCTCCTTTGCTTTTTCCGGTAAACCATTGTTTCTGCACTCTATACAAAGAGAGGTTAAGACCTCGATATTTATATTTTAAACGATAATTTAAGTATTTATATGCGATATTTGTATAAATTGAATTTTGCTAAATTACCAAAAACATAGTATTGTTAAAACTGGAGTCCGTAAGTTTTTAAAAATAAAATTGAAGTTCATTTCAAAATACATATATATAATAAAAGTAAATAAAAAAAAGCAAACAAATAACTGATACCTATTAAGAATTATAAAAGTGCTTTAGTTAGTCTATCATGCATGTATCATAATATAAAATGTAACTATGAAATTATACAATGAAAGGAAAATAAAAAAAATCGAACGAAAAAAACCATAGCGCAGGTAAGAAATGATAAAATTAAACATATTTACCCACCGATCGGACCAAGGGAAGAGTCTACTCTATTGATTCCACGCCTTTCTTCTTTTGGCCCATCAGAAGAGGAAGAAGAGTGAGTATCGACTGTAGATGATGTTAGAGAGCGAGCAGAAACAACGTGGGTCAAGGCAGAGACCATCGCCGACATTTCGGTGCCAAACCTATTGAACCTCCCAACGACAGGGTCGTCTTTAAAGCTATAGACATCGCCAACCGCTGGGTTGCTTCCCTCAGGGTAATCCGCTCTGGACGCATCTTGTCCTCCTTGGTTTGCCATCTTGAGAAGAGACAAATGGAAAGAGGAAACTGTTTTTTTCCTAAGGTGCTGGTCTCTCTTTTGAGGACTTCACGCATTTATATATGAAAAAGAATAGCCATATGCACCAAAAGTTAGGCCCTTATATGCTTCTACATAATGTAATTGCGAGAAATTGGTACACCGTATGTGATAGTTTGATATAATGTGACGTAAAAAATGAGAATATGATGTATCTTTTCTTAGCTAAAGGGACCTGGGATACAACTCTTTCTACCACTGTAAAGTTTTGGTCAAGACTGTCGACACGGTTTCTCCACTAGAGGACAGAGTTTTTATCCTAACCCTAATGAGACAAATACTGTATGCGTATTCTAAAAAGGTAGGCTAATAGAAATGTGGGAATTAGAGCTTTAAGTTAGGCATGGATACCTAAAAGTTCAAACTACAGCTATTAAGTTACATTAATATGTGATAAATAATTTTAAAGATATTAGGCATGTGTTATGTCAAAACGCTTAGCTATAACCTGTGGTTTTTCAAAACTCTAAGCTTTACTTGTACATCATCTCCATTTTTCAAAGACACACACTACAAGAAAACATCGAACATTGTGACGAAACTTCCAACGGAAAAAAGAATTCTTATTCTAACAATAAAATTCCAGCGAAATACCAAAAAACCCTAATTATAGAGAGCTGTTGATATTTCGTCGGAAAATTCCAATGAAATACAAATATAATAATATCTATTGACAAAAGACAAATTTTCAACCAAAAAAAGTTATAACTGTTTTATAGCCATTACCGTTGTATATGTTTCAAATGATTTCCTCTTTGATTGTCGGAAATTTGCCAGAAATTCTTACAGAAATTATGACAATTTTATAACCGTTTAAAAAGTAGCATTTTCCAGTAAAATCCGATGACATTGACTCATACCGTCAGAATTTTGTCAGACTTAATACGGAAATGTTGGTAGCTTTCCTTCTATAAATATGAGCTCTCTTCATTCTCCTCCTTCACTCCTCACACTCTTCATTCACTAGAAATCACAAAAGAACAACTCTCCTCTTTATTATTTTTGTCTGTGGATGGATAAACCTTGTATGGATCCAAACACCAATTTACTGAGAAAAGAATACGTAAGAAGTATTAGCGAATTCATGACGTTATCTCAACGACAACCAAAAACAAATACTGGTATGTTAAGATGTCTTTACTCAACTTGTAACATAATAGGAATACTAAGAAATGGGATGTTTGGACTCATTTATTTTGAAAGAGTTTAGACCGAGTTAGAAAGTTTGGTGTCTTCATGGAGAAATTAATTACGAATATGGTAGCGCTAGAGAACATCAGACTGCAAATATGTTAGAAGAACCATAGACGAATGTATATTATGGTGTAGGTACAGTGCAAATGGTAAATGATCATTATAAAGAAAATTTACCTTTTATGGTTGAGGAAGAAGATAGATGGAAAGAACCCAATGTAAAAAGTAGGAGATATTTTTATATGTTATATTCAGGAAAATTACCATTGTACAAAGGTTGTAACTATTGTCATTCATCTTTATTATCTGCATGTAGATTGATGGCTATTAAGATGGAGTATAATTTAGCCGAAGAATGCTTGGATAAGACAATACAATTTTTGCGAGAGGTATTGTACCAAAAGATAATCTTGCACCACTACATACTACGAGGTTCAAAAACTTATAGCTGGTCTTGGTTGACCGTATCATGTGATACATGTATGCACCGATAACTGGATGGTATATTGGAGAATAGATGAGGATCAGGATAATTGCAATTTTTTTGGAAACCGTGTTATCAAGATACGAGCGGAAGAGTTTCAGTGCTATACTAAAGGATATGACATTTTTCTTTGACAAAAATATTAAAGAGACTGTATCAGTCTAAACGAACATCTCAACCAATTAGATGGTAGCAGAGAACTCAACATATGGTGAGATTAGATATCTTTCAGATGAAAAATCTTGGAAGCATTTCCAATCATCTTATCAAAACCCATAATTTGCGTATGAGAGAAGATATGTCTACCCTGGATTATGTACTGATCGTTTCAACTTATTTTGAAAGCATGGAAGACAATATTCTCTATGACCAGTAATTATAACGCCGTACAACTTACCTCCCAATTTGTGCATGTGATGAGACTTTTTGTTATTCTCCATTCTCATCCCTGGGGGCCAGAGCATCCAAAGAGATCATTTTATGTGTTTCTTCAACCACTAATAAATGAGTTGCAACAACTATGAACACATGGTGCTCTGACTATGGACATGATTGGGAAGCTATCATGTCCATATTTCCAAGATAGAACATAGGTTTCCAACTAAAATATGAACGGAAATGTTTTTCTTTGATTGCCACAAGAGATTTCTACCACCTGATCATCCATATCGTAAACAAAGTCATACTCTTACGATATGCCATACTGGAAAAATATTTTTCTGTGACATAATTTATATGTCATGTATATTGAGAAGAAGTTTTTGAGAATCTAATGGACACGATCCTTCACATTCAAAGTAAAACGAAGTATAACTTGAAGCCAAGACTCGATTTAGTTGATATTTATGCTTGTGCCTAACTTCATGTTAATGAGCACGGTAAATGTCGTGTTCCCATATACTGATCAGATGCAGCTGAGAAACACGAGTTCTTTGATTCGTTTACAAACATTGTCCAATTTTCAGACGGTTATACATCTTATTTACGTAGCGGTGTCACAAAAGTGTAGGAAAGTTTATTGGCATGAAAAGTCATGATTGTCATGTAATGTTGCAACGCCTCATTCTGTTTGACTTTTCTAGATTATTTCTATGACATGTTCATGAAGTAATTGCAGGTATCTTAAAATTTAACCAATGTAGTTACTTTTCATTTAAATTTAGTATATATGGTTATATTTATGAAATGTGTTTTCTTTTTGTATGTAAGGATAAATGCTTTCTTCTGCGGTTTATGCACGAGAACACTAACTGAAGAAGGTATTCAAAATTTGGAGGCTGACATACCTTTTATCCTCTGCAACCTCGAGAAGATATTTCTTCCATAATTTTTTGATATAAGGGAACATTTTCCTTGATATCGCAAGAAATTGGTGGTCATGTGCAGTATAGATGGATGTATGTTTTTGAGCGGTCTATATTTGATCTGGAGAAGGTCAAAAATTTAAGCATGGTGGAATGATCTATAGTCGCACATAGCATTAACGAAGAAACTTCAAACTTTACGGAAAACTATATTCCATCAGAAGTACAGACAAAAAACCGAAGACCTGTTCGGGATAATGACAGAGGGCAGACCGCAACATATTATGTTTATATCCCAAACATCTTCACAGATATTGTACGACGTAGTGGAAAATCAAAGGACCGAAGACTTACTGAGGATGAGCACACTCATTTACGAACATTTTTGTTCAGCAACTGAAAAGATATTCTTGAGTATGAGAGGTAACTATATTTATTTCATTATAAAAGTGGAATTCAATAAGTTGTATGTTATATTTTGATATGGTTAATGACATTATATGTTCATGATTTCTATGGTAGAGATGCGGTTCACTTACAGACACGCCACACAAGAAGAGCTTGAACAACTCAAGCAGAAAAAGTTTGCTCGATAGTTTTTTGATTATGTTAGTGTGTGAAATAATTTAGTTAATCGATTAAATAACAACTCAAGGGTACGTCATGACATGCTTGTTTTTTAAAAGGTGAATGAAGGTTTGCTTAGAGGTGAAATTATCCAAGATTGGTTACGCGAGTTTGTGTGTAGACCAATGATGCTAGAGTATTGTCTTCATCTAGTGATTATGTGTACTACAATAACATATAAGAAAATTGGTATATTGAGTATCCGGATATGGTTTACATTGCGGTGCACTATATACTATTGTGAATGTTATGACAACACTATTGATCATGGTTGAGAATCGACGCATTTGGTGTTACATCTGTTCATTCGCGAAGGAGACTGCAATTTTATGATCATTTAATTCTTGTTTCTCAAACTGATCAGGTATGGTAATTATTTATCATAATGGTTCATCAATATTTTTATGATTTAACATATTACTCATACATTTATTTTTAATTTTTAGATTTGCTACATATGCTATTCTCAGATTTAGCGCATATACGATCAGTGGATTACTATAACGCCAATCAACTCTATAGGACGAGTATATTAAAGTTCTTATCATGGCCCATTGCAACGAAACTCTAGCATCAACATATATCCAGTTGAAAATTCAGAAAATGTTCAACTCAATGTCAATTTAAGTGAGTTTGGAGAAGATGTTTTTGTACACTTCCAGTAAGAGGCTCAGTCTGGAAAGTTTGACAAAAATTCAGATTCATGTCTGTCTGATTATTCTTTGGATTATGAGTATAGTAAAATATTTATAAAATTTGTAATCATATATGTAATTTTCATTTCTGGAGTAAATATTTTGGATTAATTTTTTTTTGGTTCTTGATATTTTTGAAAATAATTTTAAGAAAACAGTATTTCTTTTATTTAATAGTTAAATTTTCCTTTTAGTTCGTCAAATTTTTGTCAGTATATTTGACAGAATATTTTCTCGGTATCAGTATATCAGTATATCAGAATAACTTTTTCATTTTCTTGAAATTGTATCAGTATATTTTGACGAAATTACTAATTCCGGTGGAACTCCGTTGGTATATATATTTCTACGAAATTTTGAGGAATAAATATTTTCCATATGATTTAGTCAATACTAATCTAAAACCAGATATTTACAAGACCACAGAAACACATAGTAAGTGTCTAATAAGACGTGAATTAACGATACAATCATTCGTTTTTTTTAATGTCAGCCTATTGTAATGATGAAGAATTTTATGAATAAAATGTAATATGTTTTTTGCTAGGTTGTGGTTTAGATAGGGTTTGATTGTGAATTTGTTTTTTGTTTCTTTAATTTGTTGTTTTGTGAAATTTTTAAAGTTTTACTTATTTT